AGATGATCGACAAAGTAGTCTGTGTGACATCAGTGGTTCAACTGTAAAGTTACGAAGCTACAAGAATACTTTTTTGTGCAAAGAAAACAAATAAAAATAACGACTTTATAAAATAACGCCACACACTTGTGTCATGATACTGTCGTGAACGCGTGTCCACAAGTGACGCAGTAGAGACGAAAATGTGGAATAAAGTTGTTATTTTTGTTTTCTTTGCGCAAAAAAAGTATTCTCGTACCATCGTAACTTTACAGTTGAACCACTGATGTCACACAGACTACTTTGTCGATCATCTTGGTACTTTTCTGGATCTTGAATGTGGTAGTTACCTTGCTGTCTATGAGAGGGTCAGAGAGCCCTCAGATTTCATCAAAACTATCTTAAATTGTGTTCCGAAGATGAACGAAGGTCTTACGGGTTTGGAACAACACGAGGGTGAGTATTTAATGACCGAATTTTAATTTTTGGGTGAACTAACCCTTTAAACAGTCGGGTGAATTCACTAAATATTGACACCAGTGCACAGTTCACCAACCTCCATTCACTTATTCACCAACAGGTGATTGGTGAATACTGTAAGTGAATAGAGGATAGTGAACTGCACAAATCGATTTCAGCCAGGTGCTGAATTAGCTGTGTGCCATGAGTTTTTGTAATTTCTTTTAACGCAAACATGCCTTTTTGTAAATTCGTTTCAAATTAGTTTCAGCATTTTAAAGTCTCTGGATTGCAGTGGGATATGCTTGTTGCAGGACGTTAGTTGAACAAACTCAGAGTAGGTTTAGAGTTGACAAAACCAAAAAAAACAAAACACCCAACCTGGTTTAGATCAAGTTCAGCGGGTGCACAATGCTGGCTATAAATGTTCTGTCAACTCAGGGTTTGTCCTGAGTTTATAATTAACTCTGGAGTGTTAATAATTCTGAAGTTTAAAAATTTTTTATGAAAACTATTTTGAATTGAAATGCATTTACAAGGCAGAAAGAAACTCCGCTGCTGCCACGGACATTTGGGAATGGTAGTTGAAATAAAATATTGAACAATTTCAATGGGAGTGAATCAATGGAATTTAATTTACTTCACAAAAAGATTCAAAGAAGAAAATTGTGTTGCACCATTATCTAATTATCATTGTTACTTTAATGAATTGGACACAAAATAAACAACGCTAAAAAAGTCCCAAAAGCCCTTTAATTGATGAAAGCAAGTGAATGGCAAGCTGGTGAATAACAGTAGTGAACTGATAGTGTCCTTCTCAGTCTTGGTTCTTTAAAACATGTATTTTAGAGCACTGTTTTGAATTCTGCTTGCTTTCTGACAGCACCATATCCTTTCAGACACCTTCACAACAGAGCAATATTTTAGATAATGGACAAGAGGTGGTTTCCCCGAATAGCCAGTGGGCCCCATATTCACTGGGACGAAGAGACGTGCCACCAGTGAACATGAATGTCATCAAAAAGGTATTGATTATGATTATGAGTGTGAAAGAGAATTTTTTAATTCTATTTTTTGATACAGGATGGGTTTTTTTGTCATACTGATTGGTCAAAGATCAATTAGTGTTACAAATAGTTCTTTACATTAGCTGTGTTACATTAACTGGGCAGTAAATACAGTAGGCTGGGCACTAAATTGAATATGTTCATGATAATTGTAAATATTAAACCAATGTAAAACATTTAAACATACTTTTTTATTTGACCGTTAAGTTTCCTAAAGACCACATCATTCGTTTTATTTCAGTGAATCGATTCATAATTTATTCTGTGATTGACTGAAGTGTAAGTTTGGCATAGTTCAATTAAATTGTTCTAGTAAAAAGAAATAAATAAATAAAACTGGTGTCTGTAAAATATTTTTTTAAAAGAAATTACTTTTATTCAGCAAGGATGCATTAAAGTGACAGTAAAGATTTATAATTGTATAAATTTATAATTTTACAAAATGTTTTTTTTATTTTATTTATTTATTTTTTTTACTTTTCTATAAAATCTTGAGCACAACCATTTTCAACACACAATAAGAAATGCTTCTTAAATCAGCAAATTAGAATGATTTCTGATCCAGCTTTGCCATCACAGGAATGAATTACATTGTAGAATATTAAATAGAAAACAGTTATGTGATAATCTATAGTAACACTGTAAAAATATAAAATATTATTGTAATATCAAAATATTACTGTTTTACTGTATTTTTTATAATAAATGCAGCCTCTGTGAGGATAAGAGACTTAAGAAAATCTCAAACTATATATATATGTTACTTTACTTTTACTTTTTTTACTTTTACTTTTAGTCATTTAGCAGGGGGCTTTTATCCAAAGCAACTTACAAATAAGAAAAAGTAATTAAAACTAAAAGCTAAAACTCTATAAATACTATATATATATATACACACATTTAAGAAAATAAAAGAAATTAAATAAAAATGACAAATGCCAACAACATTTCAAAACTAAACATTTAAATGAAAACAAAAAAATAAAGCTAAAAACAATTCAAAATTTTAAAAGAACAAAAGGTATGAGTATAATAATGATTCTGACATAACACTAAGCCAACCACCAAAAAACAACTACATATGTGTATGTACAGCCACACACATATACATATACATGTACATATATATATAAATACATTCAATATATATATATTATTTCATTTCCATTTTGTATGTTGAAGTACTGAAATAACTCAAATTACATTTTTTTTTTTTTTTTTACAAATTTACAAAATTACAGTATACATGTATATACACAATGCAAAAATAAAAAAATATATCCTGTAAAATTATCACTACCTGGAAAAAAATGTCCCCGCAAATGTTTTTTTTTTTTTTTTTTTAAATAAGCTGTGCTGAACTGAAATGATTCATTGCATTTGTCTGGATCTCATTATAGTTTTATTATTTCCACAATGCGTTTTTTAGAGAGACACCCACATGTCTCAAAGTATTAAACCCTGACATGTTTTACTCTTTAGTTTCTACAGGCTTAACCTGTTCTCTGTGCAATAGACATCTCTGTTGTATCGTTATTGCCATGTTAATTTTTTCAAATGCCAGGGTTAATTACTACCTACAGTCGTGATTCATTTCACAATGCATGTTCCCGCTCGGTCTCCTTAGCAACCTCAGTCTATCTGTGAATGTCTTTAGGTTGCCACTCAATATTATGGAACATTTTGCTTCTGCTGACACATTTAGTGTTGTGAAGAAAAGTCCAATTAAGTTAATACATCAAATAGGGAAATCAAAATGTCATAAGGTCCTGTGTAGCTAATACATGTCTTTGTAGCTGTAATGATAAGAAGGCACTTGCCGTTTGTATGAACTCTACTTCATTAAACGTTTGCCTATTGTTTGCCCACAGCCTGGTGTTCACAATCATCCCCATCAACAACAGACTATGATGATGACCTCAGCCACCCCTCCTCACCGGACGGCCCGTGACCAGCAGTATGAGGGGGCCATCAACAAGGTGTCCATCCAGCAGTACCAGTCACCTCTGCCCATGCCCATCACCACCACCAGCCCCCGGCCTCAGAGCGCCCGCTGCTTCATCCAGACTAAAGGCCAGAAGAGTATGGATGGCTTTCCAGAGCAGGTACAGGTCATCTCTCAGAATAAATTGAAATAAAATGCCAAGAAATGGACAGTTGCGACTCAAGACCAATCAAGATTCATGTCATGATCATGGAATATCAATACAATGTTTCCTTGTTCTTCAAATATTCAGAGGGTTGTGAACTCTGAATCTTCTACTCCTTTTAACTAAGGCTATATCTACTTTAAAGCTGCAGTCCGTAACATTTCTTGGTTAAAAATGATCCAAAATCAATATTTGAGCAAGTACATGACCAGCCATCTTGTCGATCTCAATCATTTTATTCGAAAAATATCCAAGGTTAATGTCGCACTCAAAATCGCTATTCCATGTCTGAATTGTATGGAAGCCCATTTCAGTCACTAACTTAAAAACAAAACAAACAAACAAAAAAAAGGTCATTGCAACTTTTCACAATTTGAATTGGTTTCTCACAATTCGGAGAATAAAAAAAAACATCAGAATTGCGATGCAGTATATAAACTAACTAACTAGACTTTTTTTCCTCACAATTTTAAGTTTATATCTCACAGTGCTATTTTGTGTGTGTGTGTGTGTGTGTGTGTGTGTGTGTTTGTTTCTGACATGAAATAAAAATAAAAAGGGTAATTGCGACTTTTTATCTCACAATTCTGACCATTTTTGGACCATTTTCTTCTCTTTTATTTTAAGTTCATATCTCGCAATTCTGACTTGTTCCTCAGAACTGCGAAACAAAAGTAGATAAAACTTTGCAATTACTCTTTTTACAGTTTTTTTTAATTGGTTTGGTACTATTTTCACAAGTAAGGTGTACATTTTCAAAACTCTTAGTACAAAACTTTAAACTGATCACATTTGTTACACCACTAGTCATTCTTTCAAAACCTGTTCTCATGATTTCATTGTAGTTGCACATATTTTCATGCCACATAATCATTGTTTCAAAACACAAGATCATTGTGATATGTATTGAGAACATTTGAATTAATCACCAAAACACAACAGTATGATCTTCTTTCAATTTAGTACTTTTAACAATCAGTTCATTCAAGAGCAAACAATGCAAGATTCATGTTTCAAATCACCTTTGTTTCTGAAATAATTACAGTAATACAGGCAATAATTGTCATGTTAGAAAATACACTTACGTTACCTAACTTGCATAACTCAAATAAAATCCATAATGTTTGTAAAAGTATTTATCAAAAGGTGTATGGAGGTATGACGTGGCCATAAGGTTTTGTGCTAGAACAGAGTTTACTGTCAATGCAGTAAATGTCCTCACTGTGCCATATGACTGAATCTATACTCTAGCTGAACTTTTCAGATGAAGGGTGAGTTATAGTAATGTGCAGTCTTTGCCATGGTAATGCTTCTATATACAGTATCTCATGGCATAATGTAATGTAAAATGCTGTATTTGATACCATCTGTCTCCTTTCTTCTGATACATCTGTGATCAATCTCTGATCAGTACCTCTCCCTTGTGTCCTGCTGTATGTTCACAAATAGCAAAACACACGGTTTTACAAACGAGGACGTCCTCAAAGGAAGGTTTTAGGTGATTTTGTCAAGTTTTGCTTACTTCTGGGTACCAATTTGTCCCCAAAATATGGTTA